AGAGAGAGAGAGAGAGAGAGAGAGAGAGAGAGAGAGAGAGAGAGAGAAAAGGTGATGCCCCGTGCATTTGATGGAATTCCTTCGGTTCAACGTGCTCTCTCTCACACTACATGAGATATCAACCGAACTGAACCGAACCGATCCTATTTTAATAACCAATATGCTTATACCATATGAACTGTGTTCACAAATGAGATTCGAGGCACGTTTGTCTAATTAAGTTTAAAGACTCGAACCCTATCGCTTCTACTGCGCCTTTTTTCCAAGGAAGGAAGAAGAGCTATTTCTGGGCGTATGGTGCATACGTTTAGGTCAAATAAAACAACCGGAGGCACGAAGTATTTTGTAGTTTTTTTTTGTTTCGAATAAAAATGTGACTACAAACATTGAAAATAATAATTTTGGCAGGGGCTTCCGCCCATTTTTTGTTTCATTCGAAATTTAACGAAAGTATCCTAAAATGACTCACTGTCACATTTTAACTTAATCAAAACTACTTTTGAGCCATGTGACTTTTGCCAGTAGTTTCATATATATATATATATATATATATATATATATATATATACTCCGTTGCTTCGCTTATGTATGTCACCGTTTTTACGACTGTGGTTTTCAAAATGGGTGAAAATTTTCTCGAGGCAATATTGCAGTACGATTTTAATGTTAGAGACACGAGCATAAAAACGCGCACACAGATAGGGAAAAGTGTGTGAGATATTGAAGAACATCAGCAAATTTCTAGATTTCGATCAGATAAATAAGTTTGTTTGCAGTGCAATTCACTATCTATCTACAGCTGTTGTTGTTCTTTCACTTAATCTAATAAATGTGTTATCATTTTTTGGGCGCTAGAAATGGAATATGTATAAGCGTTTCGCAGATAGCTCAGGTGAAGAGCTCACTCCAATCGACTTGTGATAATTATTAGCTATCTTCGTTCCACTTAGGAATAAGTGTCTACTTTGCCATCGGGCGCCAGATGATTTCGGTTGTGGGCCCTAAACACTTGCAACGCTTTCACAACTGAGCCGCATAATTTAATCGTTTTACTGGCATATTGAGAATATTATACAGCGAATGAGATAATTTGCATGAGCTTCAAGCCATCAGTATTTGGTTGAAGTATGATGAAAACCATCATACAAACCGCACATCTACCGAATTTTCATTTTTAAATTTGATCACGGCTCATTCGTTTCATTTATGCAAATTTGATTCCTTCCTCAAAATCTAAGCAGCCACACCGAATCGCTGGGAGGATCAATTTCAGCATAATACTCAATAAATAACACATTATGAAGTCATTGAACTGATTGATTATCATGTATCCACACATCGTATTTAAATCACCGACATTCATACCGTCAAGTGAAAAATGTGAGAGAACACACTGTCGTACGCCTTCTGCTACGCATTTCAGCCGCAATTCAATTAATTGGAAATTTAATGCTGAAATTCCCGAAATAAATGTATTCAAACATTTGTGTTTGTTTATTGTGTGCATTGGTGCATACCCAGCAAAAATGGTTGTTTGGACATGCAACATCAATATGATATGACTGCGAATGTGTTTAACAAACGAGTTCAATGCTCGAAAATATGACTTTTGTTCATTCAAACTTGCATCTTTTTTTTCGATCGATCACATAAACAAATGTCGGGCTTTCGACAGATAGAAAAAGAACTCTTTTTTTTCCACCGAACAATTGCTCTGAATGATATATTTTGACTAAACTGAGTGAATGCAAAAAAAAAATAAACAGTTCACTATTTGGTTTGTTATCGCGTTTCATTACCTTTTCATTCATCACATTGTTCAGGTATAAACAGAATGGGTTGGATCGTTTCTCGTTGCGAATGAATCGAGAGCGGAGGGAAGAGCAAAGCAGAAAGAAGGGAAAAACGACAAAAGTCTCATAAATGGAATAATCAAAGTTATAGCTCATTATCATGTCGTTTGTCTACTGCGTCACATGCAAATGTACACAATGCGCGCGCCAATGTTACAACTAAATTCGTATACAAACGACAGAAGTGACAGTATAATGATGAAAGATAACAAGCTGAACGGTAAAAAAAAATAACACCATAAACGAGAATTTCCTCTCGTCGAAAATGTACGCGCAAAAATGAATATTTTCCGTTCCAAAAACCATAAAATATCTTTGCATGCGATTCTAGGCAATTTCCTTCTCCAACCGTTTTCTTTTCAGAGCCGAAAATGAATCAAATTTGTTTTTCGAATGGTTACGTTGAAAATGAGCCAGAGTTTTTTTTTTAACCAAAGAAAATTATTCAGTTAGTAGATTATTCTGAGTGTAGAGCAGGTATTTTGGTGCGCATATATAGGTTCGGCAATTTTCAGAATGTTAGCAATAAATTGGATGTATTTGGTTATCATTTTCAGACGGCATACCGGTGCATCGATTAATCATGTATTTCTTGTGTTCGTTTTTTTCTCTTCTATTTGGCAGATCATCAGAACTAGCTTCGCCTAATGTAAAGTGTAAATAGTGTTAGAATTTAACGCAACGGACTCGAAGTGATACATAAATATCGCGTTTACGCACGAAACATCAACCACAGTGAAATCAACATGTTCCGTGAGGAAGAAACGCTTTTGGCTGGTGCCAAAAATGGAAACGCGCCAACAATTGTCTCAAGTAAGTGTATTGTTGTAACGGTATTCATAGTCAATGTTCGTCTATCTAAATATAGCAATCGAGAGAGAAAGAGAGACTGTGTATTTTGTGTACGTTTTTGGCATTCCATTCCGGCATACTTGTTGCAATGACATTTGCCTGTTAATGTCTTTGTTGTTGTTGTTTGTCTTACTCCCGAAGTCGTTGCTATCAGTGTAATGGCATGAGCCTGAATTCAGCTGAAATTTTGTCAAGCATTCGGTCATTGTCATAAGAAATCCATTAAAGGTTTCACTTTAAAGCACAATAAGCAAATACATATCCACGAACTAATTAATCCTAAAATTCCACACCGAAAAAATTAATACGCACACTGGCAGCAGCAGCAGCAGCAGCAGTAGCAACGTAATAGCAGTACAGAAGATGAGCAAAAATTTCGGTACCTGCTAATATGTCTATTCAAATGGAATTTGTCACAGATTTTATGCCATGCTGAAGCGTAAAGTTCGCCGAATCTTTTGCCAAACGAATGAATATCAGCGGCTTGAGTAGAAAATAGTCAATCTACTTTCAGTAAAGAAGAGGGTGCGTCATAAAGAAGTCACGTCAAATAAAGAAGAGGAAAATTAATGACAGCATGTAACCATTAGCGAAACGAAATTTTCGTTTTGAATTAGATTTCTGACGTCGAAAAGAAAATGAATTGAAGCGAAAAAAAGACAATCGACCGAACCATTTGGAATTGTGTGCATGTTCGCTTCATTCACAGTTATCAGTTCTTGCGTTTTTCACTCATAGCATTTAATTTGATGTAATTAAAGTCATTAAGTTTGACCAGATGAACGGGTCAATTACAATGAACAACATCAACTCGAGAGGCTAGAAAATTGAAATGAAATAAAAAAAAATTTCTTCATTTTATTAGAGCAATGACTGTTGAAAAGTCACTTTTCCCCATTGAAAAGACAAAATGATGGAAAAGAAATGATTAATATCGATAGAAAGATGATGCATCGAACGATTGACTGCTTGCGCATCGATCAAATCGAAAATTAGAAACGGAGCGATGCACTTCGTTGGCGACAAAACGAAATCAACTATCGATTTTACGTAAAAACATAGGCACAGACACGTATCAGTTGTTGACAAAATGACGAGAAAAAAAAACAACAAATGAAAATCTTAATGAAATATTTTCATTCAATTTGTGTAACTCTAGTAGATAGATTTTCTTGAATGCCTTACACGATGAACGAAGTTGTTATTTCATTATTCACATGAAGCTTTAAGCAAGCCTGCGTGCTCCCAGTTTACGAAAATTGAATTAATTGATGGAAATTTCCATGACTGCTTTTCATCCGAGTTTTTGTTTGAAATTTAAATTTTTTGGGTTCACATTTGCACATTCATCCATCGCGCCATATCTGTGTCGCTGGCTGGCATTTTTCGTTTTTTTTTTACTCCACATTTAATCGCATTAGAAGCAGTTAAGACGAACATAAAAAGGCTCAGAATCTCTGCTTTGAAAATAATTTTAAATCTTCACAAATAATTCCGAAAGTTATTCGAAAATCTGTTTTATGTTTACATTCTTTAACTCTGTGCGACATCTACTCCATCCACGCTTATTTGGCTGGCTCCTGTGAGTGCTTCCTTCAGAGTGATGGCAATCGCCATATCCCTTGCAATGAGCTAATAAAGGGAAATGTGATATGTTTTGGTTTCGTTAGCAAAAAGTTAAAGCGGGTGATGGCAGCGGAGGAGACGACTACGACGACTATGACGACGGTGGCATCATGCATTCTTCCGTTGTTCGCTTTCATTTTGAATGCATTGAGAATTCCTGAAAATTAAAAGCGAACCGCAACATAAAGCACGCATTCACATAAAGTCACACACAGAGAGACACAAGATGAATGGGCCTGTCTGATTATAAACGCTCTTAATTTTTGGTCTCCTCACCCGCACTTTTGCTGTTTCATGAGATATTTTCTGAATGATAAAATGGTTACGAAGTATTTCGACTGCGAAATTGGGCTTAGCAAACAAAAAAAGAGCGTGAGGGCTCATTTTCAAAAATCATATTGGAATTTAACGAAATGAAACGAAAAAAATACGCAATATTCGCTAAAAATTCTACCGATTGAATTCGGCATGACGGCACAAAAGATATTGAGATGAAGAGGGGAACGCTAAACGACGAATAAAAAGAAGAAGAAGAAAAAGCAGAGCGGATGAAACAGAAAAAAGAATACAGGCATAGAATTGAATGCGCGAGACAGAAGCAAAACAGAGAAAAATGGTAGCATTAGCAGATTTTGCGCGCCCTTTATTTAAGCGGTCTGCGTAAATTTATGCATGTGCACGTTCGTATTTGTTGCGTCTGCAATTTAAGCTGCTTTCGCCGTTTGGTTTAGTTTAGTTTAGTTTAGTTTAGTTTGTTGTGTATAGTTCTCTCTCTCTCTCTCTCTCTCTCTCTCTCTCTCTCTCTCTCTCTCGAATTCTTCATTGTTGTTTTATTTTGGCCAACGATCGCATAAACAAGAATTTTCTATAGATAGATGTATGTGTTTCGATGCAATTTCAAGAAGACATTCACATTTTTCAGATGGCAGCAATGGCGAGGTCGAAAAAGCACCTTTTATTGCCAAACCAGTACGGCTTACTCCAGCTTGGGAAGCGAACAACTTGCCAAACGATGAACTAAATTTCAGAGGTAATTCCAGTTTTCTTTCAATCGGCTCACGCAATTTTCTCCGTTTTCATTTAATTCGTTGCTTTGCTCGATCGTGAACGTGTGCTCGTGTGTGTTTGGTAAAATTTGAATCTATTTAAATTGCATTTTTTTTTCTCTCGATTAAAGGAATGACAATGGAACGGGCTACACTGGAGATAAATCCCCCACGGGACAAGTTGAATATTATATTTTTTATACTGGTGTTGCACGGAATCGGTACCTTGATGCCATGGAACATGTTTATTAATGCCAACGATGTGAGTGTGAATCAATTCTTTGATACGGTTTTGTGCGTTTTTATTGATGGATTTCTTTGGTTTTTCAGTATTTCGTTAAGTATAAATTGAATGCTAACTATACGCATATTGAGGCAGACTATGATAAAGACTTTCAATCCTATATGCCATTGGCTGCGCAAATTCCGAACGTCATCCTGAACTGGCTAAATATCTTCTTCAATTTGGGGTAAGTTGCAAGAAAAGAGAAAAAAAATTGAATCAAGTTCGATCATTTTCATGATATTTTCAGTGGAAACCTAACGCCTCGTATCGTATGGAGTATTATAATTGAAGTGATTGTCTTCATTGTAACTGTTGGATTGGCAATGGTTGATTCACAAGAGTGGCCAGGCATTTTCTTCTGGGTTACTATGACATCCGTTGTAATTCTAAATAGTGAGTATTCCAAGGGTTTTAAATCGAAGGTTTGAAAGAGGAAAAAACGCAAAATTAAAACAAATGGGTCATCGTTATCTCTTATTTTTCTCGTTAATTAGTTGCTGGTGGAATTTATCAAAACTCGGTCTACGGTATGGCTTCAAAATTGCCAGCCAAATATGTGGGCGCAGTGGTGTTGGGCTCGAACATTAGTGGTGCATTTACATCAGTTATAAACATTCTCAGCACATACTTCACATCATCTGTACGAACAGCAGCAATTTACTACTTTATCGGCGCAATGTTTGCATTGCTTGCCTGTTTCGATACATATTTTGCACTGCCTTTGAATGTATGTCATCGATTCAAACAGAAAGCGAAACCGTTGTGATATCGTTCAGTAAAAAAAACTTCGTTTTTTTTTCTTTGTAATTGTAGAGATTTTATCGATACCATGAACTGATGAATGAGAAAGAAGTGGAAAAGGCACGAAAATTGGGCGGACAAACCGGTCGGCCACCATACTGGACCATTTTCAAGCAAGCATTCCCACAATTGTTCAATGTTTTCTTCATATTCTTCATCACATTGAGCTTGTTCCCAAACGTTCAGTTAGGTATGTTTCTGGCGTAGATTTGTTTTGTATTTTTTTAAAAATAAATTACAAAGAAAATTCAACTAATTTCAAACACTATTTATCGAGCAGCTATCGAGAAATCTGATCCAAATTTCTGGGTACCGGACAATATTTATATGTCAGTGTTGTGCTTCTTGACGTTCAATATAAGTGCGATGTTGGGCAGCTTGACAACATCGTGGGTTCAATGGGTACGACATTTTAAAATATTGAACTCAATAAATGAACTTCTCCTAAATAAAAATGATGTGACTTTCACTTTTAGCCAAAGAAAGAGCATCTCATATGGCCGGTATTGCTTCGAGTTGCATTCATTCCATTGTTCTTATTCGCCAACTATAAACCATATAAAATCAATCGAGTCTTGCCAATTTATATCAAAAACGATTGGGCATACTGGGGCATTGGCTTCTCAATGGCATATACTTCAGGATATCTCAGGTAAATTGGAAGAAAACTAATACAACACTAAATTTATGAACGAGGAGATTGGATTTGTGCCGTCGAAAATTAATCAATGATTTATTTATGTTTTGAACAGTGCATTGGGTATGATGTATGCACCGCAAACAGTCCCGCAACAACATGCACAAACAGCCGGTATGTTTGCTGCTGCTATGCTTATAACTGGAATATTCGCTGGAATTTCATCATCAACCGTCTTCCCATTTATTGTAAGCAATGTGTCCTGGTAACATATGTGTTCTTATGTTGTTTCCAACAGCATACACATCTTACCATTTGTTAAAAACATGAAAAACATTTGTTAAACCGAAATTTTTCTATCGAAGTAATTCGCCGAAAAGCCACTGAAAACTATGGAACACAAACAAACAAACACACACACATTTTTTTTAAAATATCGACTAAAATTGTATTGTATAAAGAAATTTTTTGACTAGAGTAAAGACTCAAACAAAAATAACAGTCCAGAAATGGAGACATGTAATAATGATTACAGTATACAGAATGTTTGTTACTTGATCCGTGACACAGGTCTACAATATGAGCATAAAAAATAACACTCAGTTGAGCATTATAAGCTGGGTATTTCAATGATAATTGTATATTCGCAAGTACAACAACAAGGGAACCCGTTTTTTTGTCTGTCTGATGTACCCCATATTTTGAGACACTATCTTCGAGTAAATAAATATAAATATATAACGCAAAAAAGAAGAAACCAACAAAATTATAAGAATTGAGCTAAACTACCAAAATTAAACTATATGTAAAGAAAGACGAAAGAGAAACATCATCATAATAACAACGTTTTTTTTTTCGATTGAAAGACTTATTTCCGTGAATGGAGTGCATTGCAACAAATTCTGTGTGAATGAATTCAAGCAATTTCTATATTTAGTTCCTGGCATTTTGACTGAAAAATCATCTTCATCAAAAATATGTTCCCCCCGATTGCAATCAATCTGATGCAAATTTAAATACCAAAAAAAAATAACATTTTGTCGCATATATAGAATCAAACTGACCTTTGTTTAATGTTTTCATTAAAAATAAGTTTTTTTATAGACAATTTTTGTAATTAACAATTTGCATATTATGGGCGAAAAAGAAAATAAAAAACACACTCTTTGTCCCAAAAAAATCTTTAATAATAAGCCAGTTGAAATGAAGTTAAACAAAAATCATGCACTAAATCAACGCATATTTTTTCTAAATAGGCAACAATCATAAACATATTCACTTTTGAAATAGCCATTTCAATAATAACTATATCACGAGGACAACAACAAGAAAGATGCATTTGTAATAGCTATGGAATTTTTTTATATACATATTTGCATAACCAAAATGACCCTCTTATGACAATTTACCTTAGAATTTTATAAATAAAAATTAAAAGAGAACAACAAAAAATCAACGACTTGAAGCATTGTAAAGTTGTACTATTCCATGAGACCATAAATATTTCGTACTCTTGATTTAGTTTAGTTTCTTTTTTCAGTAATTGATTTAAATTTTATGCAAATCATGACTGTCATCTACAAAAATAATATTTCCAACAAATCGTACTTCAGCCTTTTATCCGCAGCATTCGAGAACCGTCTTCACATTTTCATTCATTATCATCTTTTCTTTTGGTACTTTTTGAACGAAATGATGTTCAACAACTTAAATGCGCATCTTTGTCATCACCACACGGACACTTCACATTTTTCGAATTCAGCTTATAGTCATCATATCATAGAGCACGAGCTTTCGATACGATTTTCCCTATTACCACAAACACATTTTTCTTACAATATCCAAGAAGAAACGTTAACATATTTAAAAAAAAAATGACAATAAATAAATAAATCAAATATAGAGATTAAATAGGCGTTAACAATTTTCCAAAATAAAAACAAAATTCAAGCACTTAAAAGAAAAATAGCCTCCTTCCAGAAAAAATGCAAACGATATTTTCGATAAATAGTCATCTTAACTCCTTTTAAATGGCTCATTAAATGCGAATACACAAATGCGCAATAATTCACAATCAAAAACCTCTTGAAAATAAATTTATATAGACAATAAAAAAAACTCTGTACGCACACTTTTATGTTTTCTTTCTTCTGATCTGCTTGCGTTATCGCAAAACCAAAATAATTGCACACATCGTCGATGTGACGTCGATAGACAAATCAAAAAATGACGCATTATTTGTTATATTCAAGGCATTTTGTTGATTTGTTTCTTAAGATAAAAATCGTAAGAAAATCCGATACACAATGAAACGATGAGGTCATAAGCAAATGTGTGTAAACAAATTTTTCGATTTTTCTTCTAAATTTTGGATCAAGTAACTATATATGCAAACATCTTAGGAAAAAAATTACCTTAATTCAGATATCGATCGCTTAAAGAAAAGAAACGAAAAACTGACTTACGCTCCGTTTGTGCCTCGTCGTAATCATTATGATTTTTCTCATTTTGTATTGATTTTTTTTCTCTCGATGATTTATGTGTTTTGTGTCAATACATGACTTGATACACACGTTTTTGCAAGATGCATTGATAACGAAATAACACTTTATTATAATAAATTATCATAAATAAATCACTTGAAAATTTGTTTGTTTTTCATTTGCTGAAATATATTGCTCAATAAGTCTAAATCAAGAGTCTTGATTCAAGACTTAAAAATGTAACGAAGAAAATGTCTGATTCACCTGATTTTTTTCGAAATAATAACAAAACCAATATAAATATCTGAGCATTTACTTTCCTATCATTGAACAGAGGGAAGTTGTATGGACTTGGTTCTCAGAAATGTTCAAATGTGATAATCCAGTAGCATATACGTTGTACGCAGTGTGTTATTCTACTTCTGATCAACAGGCGAAACAAAGAGTAATCTCGGGCCGTCAACTATCCAATCATACTAACATGATTTTAGCAAGAAAAACAATTAGAAAAAAAGTGGTACATTTAGAAAAGACCACGATCTCGAACTCTATCAATGGACTGAATAAAAAGGGAATTTTCGTCATTCAACAAAATGCAATGCTATCCAAATGACGAAAAAATCGTATCTCTATACAAATTTCGTTTTAATCGCGGTGCAGTAGCGTGCAGGACTTACTTCTACCAGAATACGAGAACGATTACCCTTGACCTAAATCTCGCGGTATTGGGGTGGAATGTGTAAAAAAAATGTGTCTGTGTAGCATTTTTAAATAGCACATGGAAAATCAATGACGTTCCTGCTAATGGATATGTTTTTATAAACGTACGGAATAAATTCCGGCCCGGTTGATTCTATTCTCTGAACTATGGGAGTGTTATTTCAGAATAAATATTTCTAAATTTTGTTTTGGGTTCTTTATGCCGAAATTGCATTGTTGTCACTGTTTTTTTTTCTCTATTTTCAACGGGCCTATCAGAATCAATACTTCTTACTTCATTGTAAACCCACACAAACCATTGAAATAATTTTGTTTAATTCGATGCTTTCATCATCTGGCTTTCAAAGTGCCTGACATGATGTGTTTCATGGTGAAGTCTGTACTTTTCGCGGCTGAAACATATTAAGAGAAAAAAAACAACAATCAAAGGCACTTTTCTTCACTTTTAACTGATTTTCAGTTGATTTTCTCTTATTATTGATAATATTTGCTGACATATTTCACATTTTTTACATCGTTTTTTTTTCTTCTTCTAATTGAATAACAAATAAATATCTGAAATTATGGATTTTCATCATTGACCAGAAAAAAAATTGAGTGAATTTTGTTTTGTTTGTGTGGAAGTGGATTCCATGTCAAATTTTGAGATTGTTACAACGATATGGAGGTAATTTCCATTTTGAAATTGCTCGGAATATAGCAAAACGAAAAAAAAACTAATCGTTCATTCGTAAAAGAAAATAATGTTCGATACCAAAGTCATAATTAAATTCAATTGATTTTCATGGGTATCTGAATACAAACTTCAAACGATCAATACGAATTGTGGTTGATTGCAACTTCCGATTTTCGCATGCTCTTATTGTTAATCTCAACAACTACATCACATAAACCTTTTCGATCTTCGGCTGGACAAACAGCTCATTTGTTTTCGGGCACACAATTATACCGTTCTCTTTGGATAACTGTGTCAACGCCTGAAATGAGAATGTAAGACACATCAATGGATTAAAATAAATTCAATGAGAATCCCAATGAATGAAATGTTTGTTCATTCCATCGTTACACTCACCTTTTGTCCGAATATTTGTCCATTTGGAAGCATCATTGGAATATTATGCTCGTTTAATGGAGCGCCCGTGACTCTGCAAATGAGAATAAATGACAAGCAAATTGAGTAAACAATGCAGTTGATGATTTCGGAAAGACCTAAATTAAAAAGTTGATTTGTTTTTGCCAAACTTACCTGCATATGAGCCGACTCTGTGCACAATGTGAAAATGGTAGATTTTCGGCGATACGGTTTAAGCTTGGTTGGCAAACGGGGCAATTATCATTTTTATTGTTTGTGGAATAACATTGTGGAGTTTTCAATGCGGATAAACCAGCCTGAACTACGACGCTCAGAACCGATTGTGATGACAGTTGGAACAGGCGATAATTTTCCATTCTATAGTTTATGACTAAATCATCCCAACGTGCAATATCAAATAGTGATTTATATGGCTCAACATCTGAAATTTGAGAAAGCAAAAAAAAAAAGAATAAGAAAAACCGTCACTGGTTGTGCACTTCATTTGGTTCAATGTGAATTTTGTACCTGTGTTTATTTGGAAGGCCAACAAGGCCATGCATTGGCTGATCTCTTTCAGTTGATCATTTTCAAATGCTGGGAAAAATTTGCGTGCATGTTTGACAGCGCCCAAACGGTCATCACATCTTATCAGTTCGACAAATTCCTGCACTCGCAACTGAAACTCAATGTTTGAACTGATTTTTCGGAGTTTGGATTTGTTATCGTTACACCATGCTATGCATTTGGCTGTATTGTGTCGTCGCAGATCCTCTTCAACTTCGCGTGTCGTTTGGAAAATTTCCAAATTGGTCAAATCTTTGATGCCTTTGCGGACTGCGAGTCGTTCGGCCGTTTCATAGTAGCCCAGACGCAAAAAGTGTTCGACTATCATTCGATCGAGTCGTGTTTGTTTCCATTCATTGGAGTATGCAACATGTAGCTCGGGTGGAATATTTTGAGCAACCGATTGACGAACATGGTCCAGGCGCCGTTTGCACGCTTGCACCGCTGATAATTCGTCTGATATGCTTTCATCAGCCTTTCGTTTCAATACTTGTAATCGTTCGACAACACCCCCAAGCAATCGTGTTATTTCACCAGCTGATTTCGATTCTAAGCCACGCTCCAATTCACTTGTTACATTTTGTATTTGACTCAGTTCACGATCCAATGTCTTTTGTGCAATGCGAAATTTCTTATTCAGAATTTCATACGGAACCTAATGAAAAAATTAACAATTTCAGAGATTAATTGGTATGACCATTGACGGCAGGAACAAAAAAACCCAGAGCAAAAAAAAAACTAAGAAAATCATTATTCAATGCAATTCACACATTTCAAGGCCACTTCGATCGTCCAAGTTTACATTGCAACAACAACAGCAACATTTCATACTGTACATTTTAATGGAAGTTTTCATTGGGTGACATTCTATTGTTTGTTAATGAAATGTTTGCATGAATATTTTTGTAACAAAAATTGTGAACAAAATAAAACACACTCGCACACGAACACACAGTCAATGGCAAATGGCATAACCGAATTCATTTCTCATTCTTACTCATTCGCATGAAATCGCACCAAAATCGAATTTCCCTAGTGATGATGCATTTCACGCACTTACACACTCGGAAGAACAAAGAATCACAAATATACCAAAAAAAAAAAATATATTCCAGTCGATTCGCCGTATAATTTTATTTTTCTCAATCATATGAATGTAATGCATTTCTAACATTGAAATTGCGTTTTTGCAAGTGTATAAATGTTGGTTGAAAAATTACGTCGCAAAACATTTTTTTGGTAGCCATCGTTCACATATAGGAAATTCAATGAAAAATAAATCATAATTAAGTCTTACCTTTAACGTCGAATATTCCATCGCTTTGAGATCAGACATGATGGAAATTTCTTTGTTTTTTTCTTCTCTTGTGTCGTCCGAACAAAAAATTACACACAGCTGTTTCGAATTTGTACGATGCTCGAGATTTATTTACTTTACCTTCTAAACAATCGATAAATGTTTTTGCCTATTTTCACTCGCCTAATGATTTTGTTCGTATACTGAGCGCACACAAAGAGATGGTTTATATACATTTAGCCCGAGCACCGTCTGATAGCACATAAAAAAGTGTATGGCAATATTTTCAATTCATTCTCCTCGCACTCAGCTGTCAGTGTGGCAATTGGTTTGTCGCGATGTGGCGCTGTCAGTCGTCAAAATAGGAAGAAAAAAAAATGCAGTGTGTACCAACTTGAGAGCGATCAAAAAGCGATCGAAACTTGGTTCGCGTCATTTTCACATCTGCGGCCATTTTAAATGCTACGAGTGGGGTTTTCAGGACGCGCTTCGACAAAAAATTGTCACTTTTCTGCTGGAAATACGTTCGCCGGATCAAATTTTGTGCAAGAAGTATCACATTCAGTGTTTGTTTTGGTTGAGTGAACCGTTTCGCATAAAATCGGCATTAAAGTTTTCGGCAAAAACAACGTGTCGCGGAAATTTCGAAAGGAAAAAAAAATTTATCACAGTGCAAGAGTCAATACTGAGAGTGAGCGAGAGTAAGTGAACAGAGCAGCATAGAGTGTATTAGTGCGGTTTTTGTTCGAACAAATTCAACCTGCATGCTACTGTCGCCACCACCGCAATAAAATCATCCATCAACCGAAAAGCTAAAGACAAACTGAAACATTGAAATTGTTATTCGTTCAGAGACGCAACAAAGATAAAAAAAAATACGAAAATAAACAACCAATTACATTAGTTAAATAACAAAAACAACGCAAATTTTCACCGCTAGCGAAAAATAAACGTTCGCCGAAACGGGACTGTTTGTTTGGTTCTCTCGATTGGAAATATTTCTAGTGCAAAAATAATTATATAATTTTACAATAGAAGCGTGTCTGTTAATTGCCTCCAAATTTCGGATTTTCTATCGTCACCAGCAGTTGGTCTTATTTGTTAAAATTTCAGATGAATTGTGAAATTATCCTGCGAGCTGTTGCGTAGCAATATTTGTGGTAAGTGTTGTTTTTTTCTGTTACTTCATCTGAATAATATCGGCCGCATCGCTAGTTGTTTTTTTTTATTTGTATTCGTTGGCTCGTTCATTTGCTTAAGTTTGTGTCGCGAAGCAAAGTTTTATAAAGCTAAGTGTCTGTTGTGCGACAACTTGAACGTCTCCATTCACATTGCCATGGTGTATGCCGAATAAGTGAACACAAATCCACTGGAAACAATGGCGTGTATGTGGCGCCGGTTGTAATATTTCCCGCGTGCAATTTATTTATTTTTTTTTTTTGCTTCCCTCTTTTCTCGTTCGGTTCAATGTGAAAAGCATAAAAAACATGAACATTCACATGAAATAATAAAATGCAAATTGTGCGGTATGCCATGAAATCTGAGGCGATGTGAGTGCCCGAATGTCAAACAGAAGACCATACATAATTTTTGTTCCCGTGCATTCTGGTCAAATGATGAAATTGTGGTGTATACACAGTGTGTGTATGTATATATAGTGTACACGAAATAGTGCAACATATTACCATATTTAATTCTGGATTGAGATTGGGATTCCTTTTTCGTGTGTCAACAGCGCGCGCTCGACGCACAGAGATAGGCATAATTTTTTTTCGCAGACAAACACGAAGCACACGTATTGCGATTCAAAGTTATCCCGATCATCGACAGCGCGCGCGAGACATAGTAGCTACGAAAAAAGAAAATAAATAGCCCACCACCAAATCAACAAAAAAATAATACGAACCAACAACAACAACAACAACAAAAACAACAAAATCGAAACGCTTTTAATCATCGTAAATAATAATAAATTCGTACATGTATAAAAGAGACATATAGTTATGAAAAATCGTGTTCTATATTTATGGCTCAAGTCAAGTATAATTGAATTCCAAATGGCCGGCGTGCAAAACTTGTACGACCAATTTCATTTCATATATGCGAAGCGTATTCGTACAGTTCAATATGCGAACGGCGCAAGAGTAAACGAAACGAAGCATAGCTATATTGTACAATTTGTGTGTGCCTTTTTTTTCTTCTTTCATTCGAATTCATTATCTTTTTTGACTTCTCCGACTGTTGCTGACTCTTCTTCTTGTTGTTCGTCGTCGACGCCGTTGTTGTCGTATGCTGTTCTGGCTGCTGCCTGTGCTCTCCGTTTTACGTTGTTCAAGACAATTGTGTATAAAGTCAGCGTGTGTGTATATATAGCTAAATTGTTCGTTCATTCGCTTCATTCCATTTTATAAGAAAAAAAAGTTGGCATAGAGAAAAAAGTCATGATTTTTGTCGCACATTTTTCACCTCGTTTGAGATCACACGACACCTAATAAGACTCATCACGGTGTTATGCTGTTGTTGTTGTTTGGAATTTTCTTGAATCAAAAAAAAAAAACAACAAATATGGTCAATTTATTCCGGCATTTCCGGGCCAAACTTAGCAGTTGAACGATTGAAGAGAAAAAAAACATGCAAGTAGAATGAAATAAACAAATCGTTGACTTTGCTCGTGTCCATTTGGTTTGCCCGGTCGTTTGCCGATGCTAAAACCATCGCTCAATCTATGTTGACCGATTTAACGTCCATAGGTACGAATGGGCCGTTTCTAATATTTGCAAATGTAATGCCAAAACAACTATACATGTTATACAATTCGTAACAACATTGAGACCATCCAGTGAACACTTTATGATTTCTCTCGTTGTTCACAACGAGCATCTGAACGAAATTCAACGGTGAAAAAAAAAACGTGAATCAAAACAATCAATAGACGAAACTGAGTAAAAAAAAAATCGGCGGCTTTGAATAAAATAGGCTTGAAAATAAGGTGAACGAAATGGAGTACGCACAAATAACGTGAAATGCACAAATCAACGAAAAACGAATGAGAGAGATTTGAAATAAGTCAAAAGACAAATTTAAGAAGAATGAATAAGAAGAATCTTCGTCGCTTCGTTGATGACGAAAATACACCAACGATACAGTAACAACAACATCGGTACTGAAAAGAATGAACGAAGTGCAAAGAACACGACGAAGACTGTGGCGTGTGTATAGAAAATGGGGATATATATATATATATATATATGAAAAAAAAGCAAATGCGAAAGGTGCGCAATAGCCTCACCGGTTGTAATAACAATCAAATAACAACACACAGAGTACGTACAAAACAATTCTCGGGCTTTCGGCGCGCTTCATTCGATCTGAAAGCATTCGTGCACACTTGATACACATTCATAGGTACCGAGCACACAAAATGGAACAAGAAGAGCAAGAGAAACACGAAAAGACGGAGAGAACGAGCGAGAGTGACATAAACATATACACAATGCGCGCGAAGGGAAGAGCAAAGTAAAAATCATTCTGTGAAAAGTGTTGTGCATAAGAGATATATCGAACAACTTAGTCTATAGCTCGTATGCACAGCAAGCAATGCCAGCCAGTCAGCGAGCCAGTCAGCTAGCAGGCAGGCAAGCAAGCAAGCAAACATTGTATGTATCTACATTTCTGCCATCATTTCCATTATACCTATAGAGCGTAGTCTCTCTATTCGATTCGTGCTAAAAACCAACGTGCACACAAAACACAACAAAAAAAAATGATGAATACAAAGAAAGGAGGGAAAAAAAAATTAAAAATAAAACATAAGAAGAGAAGAGAGAAGTAGAAAAAAAGCAAAGCGACAGCAGAAACAGCAACGACAACAAATAAAAAAGGAATATGAACAAAAATGAAAGAACTGAAATATCTATAGATCTATCTCCATAGCCATTCATGCCTTTAACCTATAGCCGCGGACGTATAGAGCAAGAAGTGCCTTAGCCTCTAGTGTATTACATCCAATCAACATATACACCGTTTGGCGGCGTGTGGTGTATAGCTGTTAGCACATAGCACCAAAACGCAAGCATTAGACAAAGATATGGTGATAGCATTTATAATATTTAAACGGTATTACAAACATTGTTGTTTCTCTCTCTCTCCCCCGCTCTCTCTGTCTCTTTCTCTAGAAATGTAGTAATAGACGAACATAGACGATTGTTGTTGGTTGTTGTTTTTTTTTGCTTATTTCGTCGTCGAACTTCTTCTTATTTTTCTCCCTCTAATATGCTGGCCATTCGATTCGCTTGGGTTTGCTTTGACTTGTATCCGTATGTCGCATGTAAGCATTATCCACACTGGGTCTGTGAATTTTGATACGTATCGATACGTTCGTTACATTTTATTTTTCTTTTTCGTTTTCTTATTATTCTGCTGACTTGCGGTGACGTTCGTTAGAAATGGTGTGTTGTTGTTGTTGATTATCTTTCTTTTGTATGCGGTTTCGTACTTATTATTTCTCTCTCATCGTTGTTGTTTTTTTTTATTCTCTTTAATTCGTATTGTTTCTCGGCGGTGATCTTCACGTAGCTGTGTTTTCATTTTGTCTTCAATATAAATGTAGCATTTCCGTTCGCACTGGAATGCCATATGGACGATTGGCTTGCATCAAAATGCAAAAACTCATCATATTTCATCGTCTTGATAATTCATTTGGTTCCCTTTCCCCCCTTGGTTTGTTGTTTTTTTTTTCTTCTTCAGTGAGTCGCAGTTATTCGAAAGAAAAATTAGTAGGTTTTTTTCCTTTTATAATGTTGCTTTTTTTGTATTTACTCGAAAAAGAAGAAAAAAAAGGCTTCGAATTTCGCGCTATCGTTATCATTTAGTCATAGCATTGCTTGTTATTCTCGTCGTCGGCATTTCTTCAAATTATCGTCATTGTTGTTGCTATTCACAATGAAGGAATATTTTTTTTTTTGTTTTAAACTCGACTTTTTATGCGTGGAAAATTTGATGGGCTGTTATGCCTAGTCTATACATGTGATTCGGAGTTTTTTTTTTGCTTGAGCGCGCGTTCTCTCGCTCTCCTCTTTGTCGCGCTTTACTTCATGACACAGAGAATTCTACATATTAACGCGTTACATTCCAATTTTACGTGAAAACGATATGTCGTTATAATATACATACTTTCGAATATGCTCAAACGTATTCGTGCTCTGTGTACAGTTGTGAATTTGGTAGATTACTAGATTACTACAAAGCCTATGATTGTTTTTTTTCTCTTTCTCATTTGTTCGGTTGCTTGTGTCATTCGTCGACACCATAGAGCGTATTTTTGTACACACCGCATGAACTCTCTTTCGCACAAGAAAAATAACCGACGACGATGACGACGACGACAACTATCATTCAAATTGTACCTCTTAAGTGCCTACATTTTGAAATTATTGAAGAGAAAACGAAATGTGCGCACAATAACAGCTTGAAGAGAAGAAAAGAAAAAAAAGCGAAACAAGTGCGAGTCAAATACAATGAGTAGACCTTACTAGGAAGCCTAGGGGGAAGAAGATGTTTTCTTTGGTGCTTTAATACTCTCGAAAAACAAGCAATCAAATCTCGTTTTGGGCTTCATTTCACGGCATTATGACTAGTCTACTTTTCCTCTCGCATACTTTTATCGACTTTTGCCGGACACAATTTGGAAAATATGTTGTTCGGATGCTTAAATTTCGTATTAAAAATTTACACACTCGCGCACATTTCACTGTGTCATTACACGATTTTGGCTTGGTGATGCGAAGCCGCGAACAGCATTGTTATTTTAGATTTTTACTTAAACATTTCGATTACGTTGCTGTTGTTTTTTTCGTTTTCTTTTCTCTTTCTCGGTTGGCATGGCAATTCTCTCTGCTGTAAAATTGCAATCCACGCTTGTTTTTTTCCCTGTAACTCAGCATTATTATATGGGCGAGTACGGCTGCACGGTTACATCTCATAGCAATGAGAAAGTATAAACTTGTTGGAGCTTGTTTGGTCTCGTTTTTTTGTGTGTTTCCCAACTTTTATTTTAAAGATATAGTCAGCAACTTCGTAGGTATTCATTTTATGTTTTTTTTTTCACTTGCATTCATTCATCTGATGCAATTGGTGGATACGTGCGGATTTTTTATTGTTTCTATTTTTTCAATTTTTTTTTTTCTCTTATTTTGTTGCATTCAAACACTCTCTCTTTCTCTCTCTCTGTAAATGTATGCCGTTTTGATTTCGATTTTTTCCTCTCGCTCTGTCATTGCTATTGCCGTGTGACCGTTGCTGCTGTTGTTTTTTTTTCTCTTTGCTTATTGTTGTGCCTTCGTGTATTCACTTGGCTATGTAGTTTCGTGTATACTATAATATCTTTTTTGGTGCGAATATGTACATATAATCATGCGTAAAGTATATATCGAGGCAGCAAAAGTCTGAACGTCTCGCATTTTCCACAAACACTTACGGACATGTTTATACAGACTGTTATAAATAGATTGTTGTATTTGGCGTTGAACACGCGGTGTGTATTATGACAAAGATGAAAAATAAGAAATGCCGATGCAAACGGACGGAGATCATTAAGAGAAATTTTACTTTTCGCAGCGTTTTTCGATTGCACTTTTATTTCGCATTTTAATAATTCATTTCTGTTTTGTGTGCAATGCTATTTTTGCTCTCTCTCTCTCTCCCTCTACTTCTCCTCATTACCTTGCTCATTCTCTCCATCTTCATTTTCCCGCCGCACTATCATCCTATTAACATTAATTGCATTAGTTTAATTGTTTTGATTATTGGTTATTGTTGTTGATATGTGCGCAGTAAGAGTACAACGAATTCCGTAGTGAGCACTAGTGAGAATGATGCAGCCGGCCGGGGAATCCTTGAGATACGCATGGTTCAGACGAAATTCGGTTCGGTCATAAGATTTCTGCTGCCATTTTCATATTTTATTGTTGTGTTGTGTGTGTGTGTGTGTGCGCTTTTTTTCTCGTTGTATTTCGTTGCGAAGTGCGGTACCCAGGGGTTTTTATTGCAATTGACGAATTTTTGTTACTCTTCGTATGTTCGATTCTTGATGGAGTGTGAGCTTGAGTGCGCGCCTGTGTATGTTTGTGACTGGTTGACTCCGTCTATAAAAATGTGTTGTGAGTTTTTTCCCTATTTAGTTGTCTTCTTCTTCTTCTTCTTCTTCTTCTTCCTCTTCTTCCTCTGTTTCAAAAAGAAGAATCAATTCGACAGTAATGCCGAAGTGTTGTAGACAGTAATATAGGAAACAAACGCAACATCATTCGTGCGTTCTCCATTAAGCATGATGTATGTATATATAGACCGAATTGAAATATAGCCAGCCAAGTCATCGGTTCGGTTCGGCGATGACGGTGTGTACGCGCATTTATTTCTGTGTAAATGTATACATTTTCATGTCTGTTGTGTTGTGGCTTAGCGGCTCTGTGTATAAGCACTCTCCATCACATATTTGCTCTGCCTCTTCGAATCTTTCTTTCTTTCTCATGTTTTTCTTGTCGCAATCGTTCGTTTGCTCTCTTTCTCACTCGTGCACACCATTTTCTCCGCTCTCTCTCGTTCTCCCGCAACTTTCTGGCAATGATATTGTTTTTTTCTTCTTCTGAATACTGTACTTAGTGTATGTATGAGCTCATTTTGGATTTTAGTTGGTTGACATTGCTGAAGCTAACCGTCTATCGGCTTGTATTACTAAGTGTGAATTGACCGCCGACAAAATTCATCACGAACAGAAGAAGAAGAAAAAAAAATCTGTGTACGTTTTGCATGCCGTGTGACGTTTTTTTTTTTGTGTTGTTGTGGTTTCAATCCGTGATCCTTTTTTTACTGTTCATACGTTTTTTTTTTCTTTATTAATTCACTGTGTGTATTTTATCTGCGATCGTTTTGTCTTTGTGGACGAAAAAAAAAACATTTTAAAATATTGAAATATTTCAACGGTTCAATCAGTCCACAAACGCGCGCGCGAGTTTGAGTGCCGCTCGTGAAGTAAATAAAACATTCAGTCGTTGATCAGTGTGTGTTGTTGATGTGTTGAACAATCATATTTTGGACTAGAAAAAAACGAGATCATTGCTTCGAAGTGATATTTTAACTGAATCAACCAATTGTTTTTGTTGCTATGAAGAAAAGAAAAAATACTCACATCGACATAAAATAAGGTGTTGCAGGCTGGAATAACCGCGACGTCAAGTAAATGACAAAAACATAGCACATGCAAAATAGAAGCTAAACAAATATGTATTTTTGCTGGTTTTTTCCCGCATACCAAGTGTGCGAATGCGGCTGCTGCCTTTGCTGCTACTTGTGAAGTAATTTGAGTTTGGCGCACATGATGGACACATATTTTTATGAAGTGCGACAGAAAATGAAATAAAACATCGACAAATACAAACACACACACATACTCCAAAAATAATTTGCAGTGAACGATTTATCAGCTCAGTGTATGTTGTGTGTGTATTTTTTTTTTCTTCATCATCATTGGTGTTTAGTTTTTCTACAACTTTTTGCGCGGTTATTCATACTGTCTGACGGTTGTTTTTTCATTGTGTATTATGGTTGGTTGCCGTTGTTGTGATTGTCACTGTCATAAGCTTGAGTTTTTTTTTTGCCGTGTCGTAAGTTGCTTTGTTTACTTAAATCGAAATCAATTTTCTAAATTAACTTGTTTTTTTTTTTAACTGTTGCAACGAAGTGACAATGAGTTAAGCAATATGGGAATAAAACGTGGTCTTTGTGATTCGTGGTTTATTGCGCGCTCCAATAGCCTGTCTATGGCCAGAGATAATTCATAGTGAGCATTTCAAATGAAAGCCAACCGTATGCGTACACCTAAATTTGATAGCCAAACACTGTGAACGATATTTGCATTGTGGCGAGGTACAGTGTGCAATTTGCCGATAATGATTTCTAGCATTAATTTTTTTGTTCGCAGTTCATTAGACCGATTTTCATTGAAAATCGGTCAAATATCGATTGACCGTGCACCCAACTGTGTATGTTCTTCATTTGAAAGTGGGTTTTTCAATAAAATTGTTGTTTGTATATGTTGTTGTTTTGTTTTTTTCAATTTCGAAGGACGAAGTTCATGAGTGTTCTAAGAGTATATTTTTGTTCCAGTTCATAAAAACTCACAAACACTGACGCACATTTCAACTGCTGGGAGATTGATGCGAATTTAGACCCACATGAACGACGAATGATATATATCATGTGGCTGTGCGGTAGGAATGTGTGACTGAATTCAATGAAGACGCTCGAGATTTTAAACAACAACACAGAGATAGGAAAAAAAATGTGTGCAAACGAAAAGAGCTTAGCATTTATTGTGCATGCGTTGCATTCTAAGTGAGTGTTGGCTGATAATGCTGTGTGCACCGTCACCGTTGTCATCTTCCATTTATGTAAATTGTCTTACCGCCACAAAAACCGGTTCGGCATTTGCGATTGTGCACAATTCGCTGTTGCCGCTCTCTCGCTCTCGCTTTTCTCCATTTCTGTGTGTCTCACTATTGGCGTGCACATGTCTTTCCCCGTACTTTATCGAAACGAATTTTCAATTTTTTTGTTTCGTTCAATAAGAAAAGTGACAAGCCACCCTATTTTAGATTGTTGCCGTCAAAGCTCATCTTCCTTATCACGCTTTTTTCCGTTGAGAATTTTATAAAAACCGAACCGTTGCCATTGAATCGTTCCACATTGGAGAAATAATAATCGGTATAAATCGACAAAGTAGTATCATACTTTGGAGGAATCAGAGCGAGTTATGGAGCAATCAAGGTTGCGAACTTTTAATAAAACCGGAACACCAGTTTTGGAAAGAGAAAAAAAATCGGCGAAGCGTTTTTTTGTATTATAGGTCATAGTAAGAAGAAGAAAAAAAAAACCGTTCACAGCTTTGTCTCTTTTGTTTCTCTCAACTTCTGCTGGTGAGGCAAACCATGCTGTTGTCCGGAATGTAGCATAAAAACAATATGTTGAGAGAGAAAAAAACCACTTCAATGATTCGAAATCATTTGGATCAAAATGCAAGCACAAAGACAAATGTCAGTCAATCCAAACGCTACATTTTTGGTGGAGTTAATTCACTTTCCGTCTAAAGCTGGTACGTCGAGAAGAAATAAACAAGTTTGTTAAATCGGCTAAAATTGGGAACTTCTGAACAGTTTGATCGGCGTGTATTACATGGAGGAGAAAGAAAAAACAACGAGAGCACACCAAAACAATTTTGGTGAAGGCTGAACGTTGTTTATGGGCAAGAAAGCGAGCAAAAAAAATTGTATTCAAAGCTATTGTTTTTGCCTCTCTCTCTCTCTCTCTCTCTCTCTCTCTCTCTCTCTCTCTCTCTCCCTGTGTTCTGTGTTACATTCATGACATGTACACACAGTGTACACGTCTTAGTCAGTTCACATAGCAAATGCAAAGTTCGAATTGTGGCCAACTTGCCTAAATGGATTACTTGATAAGTTTTAAAACATCAAGGTAATGGTTTCTCGTTCGTTGCTTTGCTTACAAGTTATTTCTCTTTTTTTTCTCGGCCTCTTCTGTTGGTCAGACTAATACCGTGGTGTAAAATGCACGGTCTAATCGACACAGAATGTGCCCATGTCTATTCGATGTATGCCACGACCAAAGCCATTGTTTATCATTTCTCAGTTCCATCGACGAAGCAGCGGAGAGAAACAAGAATTTGTCGAATATAAATTACGTTTAGTACGCCCTTGTGCGTACATATTGTTGTATGGGTATGGTGTGTATCCAATGACACATCAAATTATGAAGAAAAAGGGGAAAAAAATCGAACAATGCGGTCGGTAACATAATAGTCACGCGTATCGATTACGCCGTTGATTTGAAGAATAATCACCTTATGTCTCTCTTTTTACCTCATGGTAATTTGTTTCGCATTTTTGTCTGTTCTGCTACGAATTTCTGTGAATTCGTTCAACGCCTCCTCAAATCTCAAAGAGAATTTAAAATACGAAGAAAAACAACCCATTAGTTTCCATTCATTTGGTCAGTGTTTATATTATTCTCATTTCTGCGCCTAACTGTGCACCGAACACACATACACACTTCAACCGAGTTCAAGTGTAGCAGCGGGAAATAGACACTTTTTGCGCTCGATTACGCTCATCTCATCTTATCTTATCATTGGCGAGCCAAAAGTAGTTTTATAACGTTGATTGTTCGTCATATAAAAGAGCGTATGATTCAAGACTACGTTTTTACTTTGACTTCTGCGGATTCTGTTGTCTGACATTGTTGATACTCGGTTTTCAGACTACGACCATACACCACTTATGCTGAACTCACATTCTAAAGTGATCGTCGGACCAATCAAGCTGCTCGCATAAATTTCATTGAACAGTAACAATTTCCGAAATGATATTTCACATTGACAATAGCCAGCCCGTTAAGATATGTGCTTAATGGTGATTTGACCTGCCGTTTTTCAAATCGATTAGACAATAGTGTTCTAGTTGTATTAAAACTAAAACTAAATCTACATTTGCTTGTTCGATGAATGTCATCGTAGCATAATTCTTTACGTAAACCGGTTTCTTACGTAAATGTCATATTATTTAAGAATTCCAAGTGATTTATTGTGTTTCTTAGATGACATTATTATTCTCCACCAAACAATCCAGGCACTTTTGCCCATACATCCGTTGTGTGGACTGTAATGCATTCAAATGTTGGCCACTGTATTTGTATAGGTTGATATTCGAGTGAAGTGAAACACAGAACGGTCATTTAATGAGATGCTGGTGGAAGTCATTTTAGATACGTTGATAGATTATATGGATAATGAAATCATGAAGAAATTAAACCCAACACACGCACACAACCCCATAAAATGAAATCCTTCTTCCTCATTCGGATGTGGCGATTCACGTACAGAGCCACATTTGTAAACTGCTTTAAATTCAAATCAAAATCGAAATTTGGAACACGCGGATAAATTGACAACTCGTACGAAAAACATTCAAGAGATGTGTTACGGATACAGCATGAAAATGGTGCGCCGTATGCCGGCAATGAATAACGATTTACTTGATGAGAACCGTTTAAGAGCGCCTTTTCTTTCTCTTTTCCTCTCTTTCTGATGCTGATAATCAAATGAAGAAACATTGTCATTGCGAAACCCGTCTACTGCCAACGTATCACATCTAGACGGCGTTTTGTCCTTTGATCTTATTTCAGCCAATAACAAAGACAACAACAGCCATAGCAAAAAAAAAAACAACGTAATCATGGAAAATAATTCAAAAGAACAATTCATTGAGCACAAAAATTAATAAATTACTAGAAAATAATGCGCAAAAGTGGCGCATATTATGAACTAAAAATGAGATGCAATGGCAGCATAGGAAAGTGCGATGAAATGAAAAAAAAATGAAGAAAACACACACAAAAAACAGAGGAGAAAAGAAAAGAGAGAAAATGCGGCCGAAGAGGAAAAAAATTATAGCCGAAACCAGTCGCGAATGAAATTGCTCATGTGTGCATTCGACATAATATGCGTCAGTGAAATAGCGAATGCCAATTGATATGAGGCGATATACAGGAGAGCAGCACGCGATAAAATACTACATACACACGTGATGTGCGAGTGTGCATTTTAAGTAAAAGTTATTGTTTCAACCAGTTTTTTTGTCGGTGAGACGGCGACGATAGCGAATCGTATGTGTTTGCGTGTGTATGTGTGAGCGGCGTGCACGATCTCCTCCGATTCGCGGCCTGCATACTTTCGCTCATATGAATGTATTCATAATTGTTATTTTGATGTGCATTTGCGTTGGGTTGTGCAGTTTTTCGCGCGTTCACATGTTTCTTCGCCCCGATAAAAATCGGCCGTTCGTCGTTGATACTCGTTCGCATCCATGCCATATACATTTGCACCCATATCGTCTTCTTGGCGCTCGACAATTCTATCTGTCCTATCGTTCGCGTCCTCTTCAATACAAATTCTCTGGGTTTTTTTTTCTGCTTCTCTTTTTCAATTTGCAAGCATTGCATGCACTTTCGTATATAGCTATATATAATATATAGTATATATGCATCTTTTTTTTTTATTTATCCGCGATCTGCATCTATGCCATTCCATATCCTCGGTGTATATTTGCATTCTGGTATTTGTCTTCACTTTTTTTCTTAATTTTAACATGGGTGATTAATTCAATTTTTGCACACATAAAACACATATACATAGCACATACATATATACACGAAGAGTGTATCAGTTTGGACTCAGTGTCGAAAACGAATGCGCGTCGCAACACACAGCACCGAGTAAAAGTCGGATAGAAAGGCGAAGCGAAAAACAACAGCAACGAGAAAAAGCGAAGAACAAGTCGAATGCACATGATGTGGCACGGAAAAGAACACGGAAACGACGATTCCAAAAAAGAATTTATTTCAAGTTTTGTTTATATAATTTGTGTGTGGTGAATCGGAGAGATTTCTATCTTGGATGCGCATTGAAGCCCACTATCGACCGAACTGAAAAGTGTATGCTGTATGTGGGATAGAACACTTATTGAATGCTGCGCACAAATAACCAAAGAAACACCGCAATGTGAACCGAAAACAGAACAGAAGAATTGCAATGCAATGCTATTAAACATAAAAATGCGATAATTGGGAAATGCATTTTATCATTGATTTTGTTGTTGTTGTTGTTGTCTGGTTGCAGACGCGCACTCAGCCCGTACAAATCTCAACAGCATTAATTATCACGATCAAAGTTTCAAAGTTCATACATAACTTTTTGTAGAGTTCGGTGAATTATTGAGCTGTTTTCTTCGTGTGATGATGAAAAACGAAAACCAACGACCTCTTCCTTTCTGACTTCCCTCGCAGATTTGCCCAGTTTGACGCATGTGACGCAATCGCCCGCAATGCTTTCAGGCGAAACCAGATCCATTGAGTATAAGTAATATTTAATTTTAAGATTTGTTCGATATAGAAGCAAACGGGATTATTGCACGCTACAGTCAACATTAGTCGAAGTATAAGTTAAATTCAAGCATATTCATTGATTGTGTTTGCTATTTTCACATTCTGATGTTGAAATGTGAAATGCTGTAGTTTTAAAGAGATCTGGTCATGTCCATAATGCATGGTTTCGTTTCATTTCATCAACGGGGAAAAAGAAATGGGGAAAAGTGCATTTTTCGACCTCTTCGATGCATTCGTCGCATCAGTGAATGAAGCAGAAAAAAGAGTCTATCTCAATGAAATATCTGTGGCTTCTCTTTTTTTCAGTTTGACGTAGTGAAGGCGTTAATTGATTAGAATCGCCAATGTGACTTCAATTCAGAATCATAGAGTCTCTTTCTCTCTCTCTCTATACTCTATTTTTTTTCTTCTTCTTTTTTTATTCATCTGTTATTTTGCTAAAACTTTGCACATTCTGCTATTTATGCACATATCTACGGATGAAACGTGTGACGGATTTGGATTACGGGCGGGCAAAAATGGAGCGAATCGTTTGATGCATTCGCTCCATTTTTAGTGTGTTGCGCGTTGATTTTGCCTACATTTTTTTTTGCTGATGCTTCTCTAGCTGTTCGTTGCTTATATGTCAAGTGTCAGCACATTTTCAGTGTTTTTATTCGACATACACACATGCACATAGCGACTGAGAAAGAGACAGACACTCACGAACTAACACACGTTCTTCCCTTCCACCGATTTCTGATTTCTTTTACTGTTTTCATACAATAAATTACTTGTTCAATAACAAAGAACAAAAACTGTGTGTAAGGCACATATATGTTCAAACGTAGACATATCTATCATGCGAATATCGTATTAAAGTACAAAATAATAATAAATTGCTGACGTCAGCAACAATTGCAGTATCATCATTGTGCACGATTTTTATTGAATCAGCTCAAAATATGCAATTGTGCAAATCAAAAGAAAACAAGAAGACGAAGAAGAAGAAGAAAAAAAACGGCAATGAGGAACCAAAAGTAACGCGACTATGAGTGAAAAGAGAGAGCGCGCGCAAAAAATTCATAGCAGATTGGAATAAATTGAATCGTTTGCACTGCATTCATTGAGACAGTCATTCGATTACATACGCACACACCGCTAACAAACTTGCGATTGCCAACGCGCCAGAGACACACGTTCTCAACTATAGCTAGGTTGTTGTTCTCTATTTCTTTCCCTCAATTCCCACTAGCTCTAAGAAACACTTGGCGATTCATTTTAATTGATATGATCCATGTGATTCGGTAGCTAACTTATGCACAAAGGTGCTGCACTGCCAAAACATATTTTGGCAAAATTACGAAAATAGTAGTGCCATGCATTGACCGGCTCAGTGAAACGAGATTGTGCGGACAAGGCTAATGAACTAAAGTGTATATACATATAGGAATTCAATGTTTACCACTAATTTGTTAAATGTATTTATCAAAGCGCATCACGATTCACAAAATTGAAATTAAATTCATACATTTTTTGTCAATAGAGTTTGTTCCGACCGTTTTTTTTTTAGCTCGACATATTTTGAAGTTGTTGTTGTTTGAGTTTTATAATTGCTTTGTTGCTATTCTGTCAGTTGAAGTTTTGAAAATTAAATCAACGAGCAATTTTATCCGCTTTTGGGCAAGCAAATATGCATTTATACATTTAATTGAAAAGAAAATCGTTCGTTTTACGTACCTTTGGTTGAACCATCTACTGAAAGTCCTGATTTAAATTTTGCAATAAATTCTAATAGTTTGGCATAGAAACGTGACATCAATGCAAATGCCAGCGACTTAATGTTGATGTGTTATACGAGCACATAATAAGTCAAACACATGCTCTCATTGGATTTGGCAATTTATATGCATCATTCTTGGCTAAGAACAACAACACGAATTTGTTTCAAACCAAATTCAATAATAGATGAAAATAAACGCCAAACCAAGCGGAATTCCACTCAATATTAAATCAATCTCTCTAAATTGAATGTTCATAACGAAAATTTTGCCGTTCTGTTGAATGCGCGCGCGAAATGTTCAGCTGAACGAATAAATTCGATACCGGCACACAGCGATCGTCGGAGCCGGTTTCGTTGCCGATGCAAATACAGATATATCAAATGGTAATCACATTCAGCGGTATTGCGATTCGTTTTTTGTTGTCGTTGCCGTTGCTATTCTCAAATTGCAGTCGAAATGGGATTATGGTCCCAAATATACACGAATTTTATCGCTTTTTAGCAAGCATTTATTAAACCAATTCAATCACTATCCATTAGGCGGAACACTACGCTACGTTGGTATGAAAATTGTATTAAAACACAGCGCAAAACCGAAAAATTCAGCAATATTCTATTGAAACTGTTAAAACGGAGCAAATGCATAGAAAGTGCACGCTGCATATATAATCGCGATTTCATTGCAATTATGAAAAATGCATTATTTACACTTATTAGCTCTCATGGTGTTTTCCATTCCTCTTAAAATCCGTACATGAATGTCATTGCCTCGGCTACAAAATTTCCCAAGGAACAATTGTTAACGCAAATACATCCATTACCAAGCGTATGTAAACGGTTGAATTTGGGCCCGCATTTGGGTGTAGTTTCAGACATTTTTAACGTCACAATGGAAGTAGAAAAAGAGCAGTAAAAACAAATCAATGATATAAAAACGATTATGAATCAATATTCAATATGCTAATAAATAGTGATACTCACCTACAGGAATTATCCTGTACTCTACCTACATCTATATAGACTATAGAATATAGATAGCCATCGATATCTGGTATCGATGATGTCTGGGAGACTAAGACCTCAACCAACTACAAATAACATACTGTTACATAAATTCTTTTGAAAAATAAAACATAAATTGCGGCTCCATTGATATTAATGAATGTTGAAGTTGACTCGGAATCGAGTTGGATACACGAGGTGTTGACGTGTGAACGCATCATGCAGCCGATGTCCAAAGAGTTCGCAATGCCCTGAAACAAAGAGAAAAAAAAACACACACACATTACTATTGCATCAATTTTAATTCAATGAGTAACATACCTCTGTACAAGATCAATTTTGCAGCCGAAATGTCACGTTGCCAAACTGTCTTCAGTACTGGAGAGTCGTCAACAGGGTCTTCGGGCACATATTCATCTGTGTACTCGATGATACCGAGTTCAGCGTCGTGAATGATTACACCTCTGCGCTCTTCAACATTGTCATCCATACCGTTTGCCGCGTTTTGTTGCCAGTTTTTACGGTAGCAAATCACCTTAGACACAAAACCACGGGGTTGATTTGGATTCTGCACTGCTGCTTGTCGCATTGCTCGTCGCTCTGATCGCAACTTCCGCTTGCTCTTTGCCGCTACAATTTTCTCTGGTAGCTTCATTCCATCAGGCCAATCATCTTGATCGGGCATACACCATTCACACACCTTGACACGATCGTTCAATGTACTCAATGGAAATGGTTCGAAACATCTGGCACACAATCGTGATGATCTGGCTTCGTTCACAAATCGTATGACATTGCCTTCCATTTTCTTGAAACTCTTCATCAATTTCCGCACGCCCGGGCATCGAACGTGTTTCTTGATCTGTATTGGTGAATTTGCAGGTGGTTGGGAAGCTCCAATGTTAATGATGCATCGTTTGCGATTTGTCTGTTGAGCAACAACAAAAACATTCAATTTTTTCAAAAGAAACAAAAATTCAATCACAAATTCTTACCAGCATTGCGGCCACCTTGTCACTGACCCGATTGGACTCGATGTAATGATCAAAACTTAAACGTGTGTACTTTTCGGTTGTGTACACTGCAATGGCTTTCTTCATGATGGTGAATCGATGCCGTATGTAGTCACGCCAATTACTTCCTTTTGGTGATAGCATTCGGTCATATCGCGCTCGGTTGTTTCGATCACTCTCTTCGAACTGCCCAAAGGCACGAGTCCATCGCTCTCTCTTTTCCTTACGCACTCCTTCTCCGGTGCAATAATGATACTTCTTGCTGTTGATTGTGAAATTCATCTGTGAGATGGAAACAAAAATCGAACAATAAAAATTAAACAATGAAATGGATTCACATGACACAATCACAATAGAATGCATTCAATCGCTAACATACCTCTTTGCCATTATGAATTCGCTCTTTGTCATTATTAATCCGTCGCCTAACGGTTGCATTCCACGTCTTCATGCCCCAATCAATGCCCAATTCATAGACATAGAAGCCATCCGAGTACCGTTTACGCACCAAACCATCTTCCACTAACTTGTCGACTACGGTTTTCTTCACTGAGTACAGAATCGATGCCGATACACCATCGCTGAGAATATGTTCGAATTTTTTGTTTGCTTTCAACACTCGATTGATTTTCTCCATGTTAAAAATCATATTGAAATAATACGCTTGATTTGATTTTGACGTGACGTGGCCCACTGTATGTTGCCGACCATATTCATCACGCGGAATGGTACCGGTTTCGCACATCATACGATACAAAACATCAGCGTCTATTCTCACTGCCTTTCGCGTGTGATGACAGATTGGGATGACCACCAAATTCTTGATGTTTGGCAACGCAATGACTTGCACGATGTTGTCGTGGTGCTGTTCAACCCAGTTGAGGTGCGTTTCGATTTCCGATTGCATGATCAACCACATTGGCAATGATGAAAACCATGTATCTTCGTCTTTGGTGAATTTGGCGATATCATCGTCAGCTGGTCCACGAATGTCTCGAACGTAACGCAACAATCGATCTCGTTTGGCCAAGCGATTAGCATCACCTCTTGTTGCGTCATATCGTTTGATTGCCCATGACACTGCATTTGCCACATCTCGTTCATCGTATGTGTCCGGTAGGCCACGAATCCGGTTAGTGTAGTTCTGTCTGAATGCCTTCAATCTCAAGAAATACCGCAATCGTTTCTGTGCATGTGTATCCAAATTCGTCTTCACATTACGGCCATATTGTTGGAACAAATATTTCATCAAGTTGCCGAAGTAATCATTGTTTGGCCATGCGGAGCGATTCTCGATGTCCACATTCTCAAAGCAATGCCGGAACCATGGATCCATAATGAAATCGTCTTCCTTGTAGCGCCGCAACACAGCATAGAAGCAATTTTCGATGATGTGCATTCCATCGCCATCGTCGAAATATTCCCAATTGCCGGTGATGATGGCCTGTTCAGTGGCAGCTCTGACTTTGTTGAGGAATAAAAGCGACGCCAATTCAGATATTTCGGTGCATTTTATGCTGGTTTTTGTGATCCATGGCAGAATACGATCACGATATTCCGGTCGAACAATACTAGCGGCGGCCAACTTGATTGCAAAGTATGCTTTCTCCTCCTTTTGCTTGCCATCTTCAACTTTCCGCGGTTTCGACCTATTGCCACGAATGGCATGTGCCCCTATCCTTTTTCTGCCCATTATTGAACCCTGAAAAAATAGAATGAAAACACAAAAATTACTTTAGAACGCACTAGAAATGATTTTTTGTTGCTTCTAAATTACTTAATTTGAATGAAAAACGAAAAAAACAATCACTGTAAATCGAACAGTATTCACAACAAATGACTTGCCTTTCCAAATGCTCAGATCAATGTGAATGTGCAATCGGCATCAGTTTGACACATCAAGCTGAATTTGGTTGTGACATAAATACCGCACACCGTGATAAAATATCGAAACGCTCACGATATTTCGACAGCAGATTTCTTCCACAGGCTACGGATCAAAACTGTGAACAAACAAAAAAACACACAACAATCGATGGTTTGTTGATTTCGAAAATCACATGCACACGGTGGTATTGTTTGGTTCGATCACTCGTTCGATGTCACAACGATAACAATTCAAATGACTTACCCTTTTTCCCTTTTGCTGGCTGTTCAATATGAATTTAGTCGAACGAAGCAAAGATTCATATTTCATGACATGGTGAAATTGTGAACGGCGGTTTGTTTATAATAACAAACTTCAAAATGAACCAACACGTAATCGTTGAAAATCAGAAGAAATGAATTTGAAATTGCCTCGGCTACATAATTTCGGTGTTCAACGAAATGAAAACTGTTAGAAAAACTGCATCGTTCTTGTTGCTGAAAAAAGTTTTATCGGCTGTAATGGCATTTTCGTTTCGATTCTTGGCGCAGTCACAACTGGAAAACGTCAAAAACATGTGTTTGTGCGCCAAAAGACCATGAAAATTCGTTGTCAGCTAATCATGTCATCGAACACACACTGAAGTGACGTATGGAAGGACGCTTTGAATCCATGTCATGTTTTATGATCGGAACGTATGAGTTTGATTGCAATCAATATGTATGTAATTGTTTTTCTTCTTTCTATTTGGTTTTATCTCATGATTCTATTTACATAAACCATCGGCACAGCAACATCATAAACATTCTCGTGTTGCTTTGAAGATATACAAAAAAGGCATAAAATATTGCCAGCGCTGGTGTGATCTACATTTGTAAATATTTATTTTTTCAACGGCGTTGTGACGACTAAACAAAACTTACGTCACATAATTGCCGATAATGAAACTGTTGAGTTCAATTGCTTTAAATACCTTGGGACGTTTAGTGCCTGATTGATATCGTAATGACTAAACGTGGAACTGTGTGTGTATATTTAGCTGTATCCATGTATATGTGAATAAGAATTTTTTTTTCTTTCGTCTGATTCAATGTATCAGGCGCTGTGATATCGCATCGGCCTCATTGAATTCATGAATATTTCCGCTATCAGATTGAACGTCTTCGAAATTGGCTGGTGCTAAAAACAGACACAATTTATCACGGGGAAGGATAGATAACTCATGGTAGTTCTGTCATACACAATGAAATTACGTTTTCTACTAGCAACCGACCGAAATGTTTTACTGCAAATAAATTCGTATTTTTGATTTGACACACTTGATATTACTTCATTTGCCTTGTCAATGTTTTATTTTTCGTATGAAAAACAATTGAACTTATGACAAATTTTATGGCTCATTTTTCCAACCGCAGAAAAAATGAGGTATTACGAAAGAATGCACAGATTCAATCAAAAATGTTAATGAAAAAAAAAAATCAATGATATACAACTGCTCCCTTACATATTTGCGAAATTATTCTGCTACAACTAGCCACCTATTGCTACATGTCATGTAAATGAAAAGTGGTCAATGTATTTTTTATATATACAAAAACACTTTGAATTCGTTATGGAAATTACTGACAATGACAATTAATATTCACAATTATTAATTAGTAACACTATGTTGAGTATATAAATATATGAATTTGCGGAGATAACAGTCGGTGGCGTTCGATGCGGCAAAGGCAAACTCAATTGCCATTTTTCTTTGATTCCGTTTCTTCCATTTTTATTCCATTTCATTCATATATAGTATATACTTATATCGTACAACAATAGCGTAACAACGTTCTGTAATCGCTTTTTCTATATGTGTTTGCCTTTCATTCAAATCTCAAGTGAAAAAAAAAGTGTCACTGATTCAAAATGCATGAGTCAGTTTAAATTGGAATGTGCAGCTTTTTACAATATGCTTAGAAGATTGTTGATTATTTGCATGCATTTTATTGTTGCGCATTATCACATCGGTTGATGTTGGTAGTTGGACGTTTCATGCTTGTTCACATTGCCGCTGTCGCTGCTGCTGCTGTTTCAGCACATACGAACACGGTGCTACAGTGCGCTTACCATTCTATATATCAATTAAACGAGTGAACGTTGCACTACAAACACAGATACGGCACATTAGGTACAGAGTCCGTTTGCTGCCAAATCACTCATGCCACAACTCGTACGACTCCAAAATTACTTTATATTGCAATCGTCTCATGCTTCTTCTTTTATTTCTTTTTTTTAATAAATATAAATAGATATTGATAATAATTAGGACAATTTATTCCGCGGAAATGTGCGTAGATAACTTAAAGCATACTGGCCAATATGTTGTTTTGAGTTGTGCCTGTATGTCAGTTATCGTTCTTCTTTCCCATTCTCTCTCTCTCTCCAACACACTCTCGCCCAAAAACCAAATTATTCAATTCGTCTTATTCAATGCTTTCACACTATCTTTTCCAACTAAAAGAAAATGAACAAGCGAGACTCAAATTAAAATAAGAAACTCAAAATAATCGAAGAAAAGCAAAATTAACGCGAAATAAGAAGAAAAAAAAAATGAAATGGCGCAAGTTATAAAACTTTCACAATGAAATCGACAAAACAAAACAAGAACAGTAACAACAACAACAACAAAATCGTATACATTATTTTGCGAATCAACGACAAAAGAAGAAACGAAATACCCATTGTTTTGTACAAGTGTAAGGCATCTGAAGAATGTGTAGACATGCGGCCTAAAGTAGAGCATGTATGTGTGTGTCGTGTGAATGTATGTTATTAGGCGACTTTTATTTCGTATTTCATACGATTTGCCCGTGCAAACTGTCATGTGTGTGTGTGTGTGGTTTGGCTGCTCAATTTGAAGCAATGCACTTCGGTCGAATATCACTGAGCGCACGTGTGAGATGTGTTGAATAATGAATTTATATCATGCCGTGATGCTATTTAATCTGACAGAAAGGGAGAAACGTCGGTATACCGACAAACGAATACATGCAAACATTTGCGCCATATCTAAGCCCTTATTATGTGTCATTCAATTAAATGCTAAATCAAGCTTTAATAAGACGCAACTATATTTTCATAGCATTCAAATTAAGTATAACTATATCTATGTGCCATATTAACGTATTGCCATTTCTCTATTTATTTCCAGATGATGATATGATTGAAAGATCGCTAAAGGTAAGCATTGAACGAGTGTGTGTTTGTGTGTTTTCTTTCTTCAATTTAATCAATTGACAACGCTATAAGGTCAGGGGAACTTTGATTTTATCTCTCTCTCTTTTTCCATCGGCACCAGTATCGCTAAAAACCGCAGAATATTTCGAATGTCATTCATCCAGAAAATGTTCAACCAGGAACATGCATCTTTTATTCCATCATAGCAACGTTGAGGTGCGTGTTCAAAGTGGCATGCAATTATACCATCACTCTGACTATGTAGTGAATGTATGAACATTTGCCCATTATATGATTAAGCCCTATGTATATTTAATTACTGGAAATTCCGTTGTTATCTCTACCACTATCTCACTCGTACACCATAAATTGAAATGCTGCATACTGCCAACCTCGCATATATAGCAATATTCGGCTAGCAATGTGACATGTAGCTGCGTGTAGGGAGCCAATGTTCATGTTTTCATATGTAAATATTTGCTCAAGTGTGGATTTGCCAAAATCCATAGCGATTGATTGTGACAATTCGGCACAAAATACGGTTACCACCAATACATCATCGCATTCAAAAGGAAGAACAAAACGCGTCTTGCATTCAAAATTAGGCAACTTAATCCGAACGATATCCCATCGAATGTGGAGAGATGTGTTGCTTGTGGATTGTGTGCATGCGAATGCAACAACGATCTAAATAGTACATCAGCGCGATAATCGGAATATTAAATGCGAACACATCGAACACGTCACAACACATTGCGATGCTATGCTTTTGCTTGTAGACATTGTGTTCGGTGCACATGCATAATGTTTGCAAAGAATTGCAAAGCGGACGATGCAAGCATAATTTTCCATTTTGAAATATGTGTGTTTTGTTGTGCGGTATACATCATGATTTCATCGATTTTCGTCACCATTTTATTTCATTCTTTACGAACAATTCTGTTGCAGTCACGCACAACACATGCCCATTCAAGCATAGTTTTTTTATTCTGCCACACGAATAACTACTATAAATGCTAATTTATCGCATGTCGTCTGACAAACGAAAATATATCATAAATTTAATGTTTATGTTTTCACGCTAATTAAAAATTACGTTTACTGCAATTAGTTTAGTGTAGACTAACTTCAATTCGCTTTATTTTCCTCTTTTTCTCCCTATGTTTTTTTTTTCTTTTCAATTTTCGATTTTCATTATTCAAAACGTCAATTTCCACCTACCCATAATGTTGTTATTGAAATGAAAGTGTGAGCATGTCTGGCAAAGCCCAGAGCGACTACACGAGTGCCTTGCATTTGAAATGCAAAATGTTAAGCACACATCGAATCATGAGGTTGACTCTGGCACCGGATTGGCCGTTTGACATCCGATGGTCAACGCGTATCAATTTGCAGCATTGTTTTGAATTTCAAAGCGCCGTTGGACAAACAACACCAAAAGAATGCATTGAATATCTAATTCGAGGTTTAATGAAATAGTTTAAACTACTCAAAATTTATACACATACATGCCAACAGCATTTGTTTACACACATAAATCTATAAACTACAATGCTTGTGTGTGTGTGTGTGTGCACAAATCGAAAGCCAAAGCAATTGTGACAGTATTTTTTTTTATTGAATTGTAAATTTCTAAAATGTTTATTAAATACAATAACTGGGCGACGGTTCGTACTTCGTCATGGGATTTGAAATAATAAAATTTATGGATTTTGCTCTGTTGACGATTCACATTGAACTGATACAAATAACAATCGATAATAATTGAAATTCACGGCACAATAAATTGTATGTACCGTTGTTTACACATTCCCCCTTGTATGTACTTATGTGTCTGTGCATTATAATGTGTATTGTTGTTTATATGAACATTAAACATGACAGAGCCTTTGTTTTGGTCGGATTGACAAGAGCAATTATTATTATAGAGCTATGTTTAAATAAGCATCGGTATGCACAGTGCAAATTTGCAGCATTTCAATTATTCGATGTAGTTAACTGGATCCTGATGCCGTTGTCGTTTGTATGCCTCCTTTGATAAGCCGATTCAATTGTATCGAATGTTCATAGTCTGAATTGGTATTTTCTATTCGCTCGATTTTATACCCTTCATGTCATTTCCCCTGTCTTTCTCTCTTTCCTTCTCACTCTCTGTTCATTTCTGTTTCATTCTCGCTGCGCCATCACCCCTGTGCGCTCGATTCTCTTTGGTCCATGTCGGTTCACACACTTTGCAACTGAAAACATTTCTCGATCGATATATACGACAACAAGTTTGCAGACATTCATAATTTTTGTGGCGAGTGGCAACGGCTTTTCTGTCGTACAACTCAACTCAAGCGACTTTAAATATTCTAGCTATCGAACCAAGCCATGCTAGTCGGTAAAATTAAACCTCTCAAACATTGATAATAATTTATTAGGCTATGAGCCCAATTAAAAGTACATCAAATTGAAAAACCAACTAAAAAAAAGGTCCGACGATACCCACGATTTCTATGTTGGATTTTTTTTCTTTCTCGAGAAAGGAAAAGAATTCATAATAATTAATGTTTTGTCTTCGAATAGCGTGACTTATCAAAAGTTCTAAATCTTTTTCTTTTGTTTGAAGGTTTTTCCCCTCGATTGCCCTTTTTTACCCACTTTTATTTTTTGGGCTCTCGCAAGCGAAATGAAATTCTTTTTTTTTTCTAAGCCAAAAGTTTGCCTTTCATTGATATTCACTAATTGAATATTGATTTTTTTATGCACATTTTCATACATAACCACGACAGAGAGATGATGGATACTTGTTAAATGAATATTGCGTTTCCGAAGACCCCGTTCATATGAATGAGAATAGAATTTCACTTTTTCTGCGAACTTTCGGATGGATTTGATGGCTTTCAAAGTTTGATTGAAGTAACGAAGACTCGTAATCATGTTTATTGTATTCGCATTTTCTGAATAGAAAAGTTGACCAGAAAGTTCTACCGTTGTGTGTGTGTGTGGCGTATTCGAAATAATGATAATCTCCGAAATATTTCAATTAATATTTACTTTGTTGGTTTCCCGCAAGAATTCCATTTAATTCCAAATTAAATGGAGAAACCGGCGAGAGTAAGCATTACTACCGACGCGATTTTCATACATGAAAATCGTGTTCCGTGCGACACTCCACCTAACTTTTATCCACCATGCATTATATATTTCAAACAAAGTTTTATTTGCTTTCCAAACAAAGTTTTCTCCCTCGCTCTCGCTCTCTCCCACTCTATTTCTCTCTCTCTCTCTCTCTCTTCATATACATATCCGCCTGCAAAGTTCTAAACTCAAACTAATTCTGCGTGAAATAAAATGAAAACTGCTAAATCGTTATGCATTAGAAAAACTTTTAATATAATAATTTATATATTTGCATGAATAGTTCACACACGGCAAATGCAGCCAGCGTATGTATGTGTGTGTAGTTCGAAAGCCATAGCTCAAAATGTGCATGAAAAATCCATGTTTTTATGATACAATTTAAGTTTTCCACAGATATGGTAGACAGATCTAAAATCAAAAACGTGCAATTCAAACATTCCGCATATTCGCCGGCAGAGTTAGACCGGTGCACGTTGATATTTGAAGCTGTGTGCGGATTTCAAAGTCAATGCCAGTTACGGATCGAAATTATCATTACGAGAGAATAATATTTACTGTGTGTACCTCTCTCTCTCTCTCTCTCTCTCTCTGTGCGTGTGTGTCTGTATAAGAAGCAAGAAGTAAATGCTATTCGTAGCTAACTATGCGGCTTGACTCACTCATTGTGTCCTTTTTCTCCGCTTACACAAAGCAAATGTTTCAATTTTCCTCCTTTCTTATCTATCATCATCTAATACATATCTGTTTCGAAATTTCATCGGAAATATTTCGTTGAATGTTCTTGGTGAAAGTGGAGAGAAGTAACAACTTTGTATCATTTTACCTAGTAAATTTATTCTTTATTGGGTTCATTCGTTCGTTTGACTTGACAGAAAAAGAGTTTTTCCATATTCAATAAAAAATGTACGTGCAATTCATTCAACTCGAAAAAATCCTGCATCTGGATTATCATGCCCATATTTTGATGCTGCGAGAACAACTCATGTTAACAAACTCCTATGAACTAAATCCAAAGAGATTTACAGCAAAAAGATCGGAAAAGTGATTTAGTTGCAGTCAAAGCAAGTTGAGAAATTACCGAAAACTTTTCGCTTAAAATTCGCAGCATTGCCATTTCTTTTGTTTGTGTTTCAGTTGTTCATCCTTCTGCTTATTTCCTTTTGGTGCGACTACTTTGCTATATGCATCAAACGTGTGCGCCGCTTTTCAACGGAAAATATTCGAAATTGAGACGAATTTCGGGCTTTTGTTAATAAGCTTAAAAACTAATCTCTTGCGTCTGTTCTACAAACCATTTAAATATGCACAAATAATACATGTTTGATACTAAACTTAATTTTAATCGTACACTTCTTGTATGCAGTTCTATCTCAATGTTCAACATATTTCCACAAAGTTTTTGGTAAACTTTCAACAAAAACGCTGAAATATATTCCACAACGAGGGATTTAAAATTTAGAATATACTATGGCTTTAAAAAAGGGTTTTAGATCACCTATTCTTTGCCGAACGCTGATCAGAATGAAGACAAAGTACTAAAAACGATTGTTGGTTTTGGTCATTTCCAACGAAATGTTACGTTCAACTTCCAACTAAAATTGACAACAAACTGTCGCTATGTCCTTTCAAGCGGTTACGTATTGGTACAACCTCCAATTGATTATCACTTCAAATAGTTTGTTGATTGAGAATATATTTTCAGCTGAATATATAATTTGTCTAAAGCCACCGTCACTTAATGTATCGATCCGTTCTATTTTCCCACTTATTCCCCTGTTCATTTCCTTCATCATTCGTGCAAAGCCAAACTTTTGAATGAAAACATTAACAAATACTTTGTGTCTGTATGATGATGGTTTTTTGATTTAGTATGTGAC